ATTGACTCCCCCCAGCCATTCCCATCCCCCTCTCGCTCCCTTTGCAGTCTATCCACATCTGCCTGGCCGCCTCTTTCCTCTTAACTTACCTTTCCTACTATTCCATTTGTGTCTGCTTAGTTCTATTGGTTTGTCATGCTTTCCCTCACTTGCTTTGAAAATTCCTCTATAGCAAGAGCTTTTATTTTTTTCTCCCTTTCTCTTCCCATCAGTGTCTTACATACATTAGATACCCAGTATATATTTGATGATTGAGAGTTGGTTGTATGTAAATTTCCCACTATTTTTAATAGGGTGAGCAAGAGTTTTCTTTTTAGGACAAATTTCACATACTCTGGAAACCTTCAGAGGTGGTAATTTTTCACCTGGAAACTCCAGGTTCATTCTGTTTAAAATTTCTGAGAATGTCAGAATAAAATAATGAGGCTAGCCCATAATCGGAAGTATTGATTTTTCCAGGATGCTGTAGTCACTTTAGTAAGTGACCAAACAAATTGTGGTTTGAGTGAATAAAGCTCAAAACTGATGAGTTTACTACTTCGTCTCAATAAGAATTAAGCTCTATTCCACCTCTAGATTTCTCTTGTCCCAAAGTGAGTATTCAACAATGGACATCTGTCATGTTATGTATGGAAATACATCTACTTTATTTACCCATCCTTGGAAACTAGAGAAATTATTGTTGGGCAACCCTTTATCTTTTCATGATATTTTGTTTGATGGTGAGTATGATCAGAAAGTTTTACTTGTGGTATTTTCAATATCACTAACTGCCATCTCCCACTGGGGTCCTTTGTGAGTTTCCATGGCTAAAAGGGATAATCCAGGTACCTTTCAAGAGATGAGCAGTGAATGGGCAGTTTCCTGCCTTTGGTATTTGACAGTTCTTATTTATCATTTAAGTCCAGTTTTCCCATAAATTTATCTTTTAGAAAAAATAAGAGAGCAATAAGCTTCTCTGTAAGGCAGTGTCAGTGGAATCTTATATGTGTTATTAGGGTTGGTGAGAAAGGAAGACATTTCTGTTTTTATTAAATGGAGCATTATTTACAGAAGCCATCGCTGAGAATTAGATCCCACACCAGATGAATGTCCATCAACAATCTAAATAAAGAAAACTCCAGTGTTGCTATGTGCAAGATACTCTCTTGGGGGCTTTTTTTCCATAGCAATTAAAGGTGTGCTATTTGTCAGTAGCCATTTTCCAAAGTGATTTAAAGACCAAAGTTGTTTTACAGCTGTGTTACCTTAAAGGTGTTTTTTAATATATATTAAATCAATTATCACTGTTGAAGCCTTGAATATCTGCAATCTTTGCCAAGCTACTTTTTTTATTTAAAAAACCATAACTTTGTAAATATTACCCTATAATATTACATATACTTAATAAAACATTTTCAGCTATTTTGTTGAGCTCTTTCTATTGCTACTACAGCAGACCACAGCACATTTTTGAGAACCTTTGTTTTTCACCCTACTGGGGATGTTGCCCACAACCAAGGTACATGCCCTTGACCGGAATCGAACCTGGGACCTTTCAGTCCGCAGGCCGATGCTCTATCCACTGAGCCAAGCCAGTTAGGGCTGTTGAGCTCTTTCTATTGCTACTACAGCAGACCACAGCACATTTTTGAGAACCTTTGTTTTTCATTGTATTTTCAAGTTCATATGCTAGGTAACAATGAAAAGGATGACTTAAAATGTTAATTTATAAATATTTTAAAAAGTATATAATATACAACAAGGAAACTTTGAATTGGAGCAAAGTTTTAAGTAACTGTTTTAAATACTGTGGTCAGTGTGGCTCAGTGGGGTCCATTCCTGGTCAAGGGCAGGTACCTGGGTTGCAGATCCCTCCCTGGCTGGTTGAGGCCTGTGTGGGGGGCAACCAATGGAGGTATCTCTCACCTCAGTGTTTCTCTCTGTCTCTCCCTCTCTTTCTCCCCACTCCCTCCCTCCCTTCCACTCTTATTAAAAATCAATGGAAAAAAATATCCTGAAATGAATATTGACAAAAAAAAACATGTTTTAAACAAGTCCAACATGTTGATGGTATTGTGAAAACATCAGGTGAGAAAGCGAGAGATCTGGACTCTAGTCCTGGCTATGCTGCTAACTAGCAGAGGAGCTTGGCAGGTAAGACGAGCTGCCTCCCTGCGCCTCAGTGTCCCTCCTCCTGTGTAGAATGAGATAAGCCTCTTCCAAAACTGAACTGTAAATCCAACCTTCTCCATTTTAGTTGGTTATCACTTAGGACTATTTTGATTGCAAAAGAAAGGAAACCTAAACGTACGAAAAAAGGAGGCTTACTGGCTAATATAATGTCTCGCAAACTTTCAGCTTTCCTTTCCTCCCGATTGCTTTCCTGCCCAGATTGCCTGAGAGGGCAGAGGGCTGACTGCAGTCTCAGACCCACCTTTTCCCAAGTTCAGGGAGAGGAGAGGGGAGCCAATGGAGTGCATCTCCCTTTCCCAGGAGTCCCATCCGCCCCAGATGGCACCTCGTGCTCTGCCTGGGTCCTGTGCGGCCCTCACTAAGTCAGGGAACCCAGGCATCTGATGCTCTGATTGAGCCCACCCGAGGCCTGGGGATCCATGGAATGG